TTGTAACTACCCACCTGTAAAGGTCTACTAAACCCTAAACCCTACGGTTTAGGCGGTGGGACGTGGTTTCATTCTTGCTGCCTTCGGATATGTGGCTTTGGAACCCCACGAAAACCCCCAAAGTAGGTAAGAGAATGGCCCAAAATCCGTAAAGGGCCATTATTCTACATACTTTGGGCGTCCAGGTAAACCCTAAACCCCTAAAACCTAAACCCTAAACCCTAAACCCTAAACCCTAAACCCTAAACCCTAAGCCCGAGACTCTTGGGCCCGAATGTGTGAAGCTTTTCCTGCGACGCCTTCCGAAGAGGACGTGAGGCGTCCCATGAACGGTTTAGGGTTTAGGGTTTAGGGTTTAGGGTTTAGGGTTTAGGGTTTAGGGTTCTTTGTGAGCTTAATGTAGGGGCCGTTTAGGTTTTAGGGTTTTGGGGTTTAGTGTTTAGGGTTTGAAGGGTGTGGGTCTAGGGGGTCCAGTGAGGATCCTGCATGTGGGAGTTTCCGAAAATTAGGGGTACCTTATTTTGGGGTCCTTATAATAAGGATCCTACTACTTAGGGTACCATATTAGGGTCCCCTATTTTCGGAAACTCCCATGTAGGGACCTTAATAATTAAGAATTTAGGGTTTAGGGGTTTAGTGTTTAGGGTTTGAAGGGTGAGGGTCTAGGGTTTAGGGCTCGGGGGTCTAGGGTTTGGGGTCTAGGGTTTAGGGGTTTAGGATTTAGGGTTTGTGGGAGCTAGGATTAGGGGGACCCTTGGGGATATAGACCCTCTCAATAAGGTCCCTTTTAAGAGAGCCAAAAGTAGGGTTCAGAAGGTATACCCTTTAAGGGGTACTTCTAATAATACTACCTAATGTAGGGGCCTTAATAATTAAGAATAGGGCTTGGGGTACATATATGATACTATAATAATTACAAGAAGTAACCCCCAAAAATCCTATTCTAATTTTTTAAGGCCCCTACATCACCGAAATTCTTGTAGGAGGACTCTTCACACACCCTCAGCCCTAAATCCTAAACCTTGAACCCGAGGACCCCTCACGCTTATAGCATGTCGCTTCTTCGCAGGGGTTTTCGGGCGTTCGTAAAGCTGGAAGGGTCGGGGGCTGGGGGTTTATGAACTAAAACCATGTTCCCATGTCGTACGTACCATAAGGTTTAGGGTTTAGGGTTCAGGGTTTAGGGTTTAGGGTTCAGGGTTTAGGGTTTAGGGTTCAGGGTTTAGGATTTAGGGTTCTAGGTTTAGGGTTCAGGGTTCAGGGTTTAGGGTTTAGGGGTCTTCTCAAGACCGAAATCAGAATGGATCTGTTGAAGGCCTCCATTGGCTTACGTGGACAGCCGTCGTGGCATCACCAACCTGCATGTGCCTTGGAGCTGCGCCTGTTTCAATCAAGTGCGAGGACTTTGGGGTGAAGATAGCCCGAAATCCTAACTCCTTCAACCCGACACCCTAAACCCTGAACCCTAAATCCTAATTCACCAAACCCTAATTGCCGAATTCCCACGCAAATAATCGAAGGTTCTCCCTGAGGCTCCATGTACCCATATAGTAGATACTTAGGCCTTAAAGTACCTACATAGGGACCCCTTTAAGGCCTAAGTATCTACTATAAAGGTACATGGAGCCTTTGGGTCTGAGCACTTGCACGTAAATCCTAGTGGAGAATGGAGGCTTCTCAGGTCCGTGGAGTCTATACGCGGTACCTGGTTTAGGGTTTAGGCTTTATAAGGGCTTTGGGCTTTGGGTTTAGGGTTTTGGGCTTAGGGTTTAGGGTTTAGGGTTTTGGGTGTAGGGTTTAGGGTTTAGGGTTTATAAGGGCTTTGGACTTTGGGTTTAGGGTT